AGGTTAAACCCCAAAATCTCCTATTGCAGACATGAAAATCCAAAAACACAGCATTTGCCCTGTCTAACAGAAAGAGAGGGAGATGTCTCAGATTTGCACAGATTTAGACGCAATCATGTCAGAGACGCTATCAGATTATTGATTAGCGGCTGGCAGGAGCTGATAACACCCTGTGACGGCTCGGATTTGAGCCCACATGGCATCCTGGATCACTCCTGCCTGATAATATGGGATTCACCAGTCGGAGTCCGAACGCTCCCAGAGAGTTGCTGTCATTGTTGGCATAAGGGGATATTGCAAACATGTCATGGACAAATCTGATATCTCTTTGTGAGTCCGAACACTCCCAGAGAGTTGCTGTCATTGTTGGCATAAGGGGATATTGCAAGCATGTCACTGGACAAATCTGATATCTCTTTGTTTATTTCAGGTGCACTCATTAAAATACCCCGACCGGATCCCTCCCACCCCAGATCACTCAGCTCTTCTCCTCTGTTCCTCCATCTCTCCGTCCCTGAGGGCATAATAATCTTTCCAATCTCAGAACACATTAGCATCACAATTAAAACCATATTTAACCCTTTAACACGCAACATATTCTGCTGTCTGGAGGGAAGGGCTCACAGCTGAGAAAGATGCAGATGATTCAGATCCATATTTGCAAAAACAAGAGGTTAAACAAGATGATTGTGTTTGTTAATTAGAAGACGTTAAACATGATGATTATATTTGTTAATGAGAGGTATTGGGCACTTTCTGTGCATAGGGTACAAAGTAGTGTCAAGTTATTTTCTTTAAAGCAATAAAATGATTATAGAATTTTAAATATAATCGCTAAAAAATCATTATTTATACTTAAATTTTTTTAAATAATCAATTAAAACACACACACAGACACATATATTTAAATAACATTGTTTATACAATTACAATACAATAATTACAATAGGTATTCTAAAAAATATATTGAAATTTAAAAAATATATTTATTATTTTTTATATTTACATTTTTAACTTTTTAAAATAAACATAAAATAATAAAAACAATTTATAGAACTATTTTTTAAAGAATTTAAATATTAAAAATTATTTCAAATAAATGATAAAGAATTAAGATATTTAGTATTACCTCCTGAGGTAAACAAACAAAAAAAAAGATAAATTATTTTTTTAAATATATTTTTTGCTTTTTAAAATAATTATTTAAAATTAGATATATAAAATAAAGAAATATAAAAAATTATAACTGAAATAATTATTGTAAATAAATGATAAAAAATTTAATATTTAGTATATTTAGTATATAGGTAAACAACGAACATTTCTCAAAAATAAAGGTGAAAATAAATATTAAGCACTATTAAATATACACACACACACACACACACAAAACCCTGAAATATTAAAAATGATTTAAAATGATTTAAAAATATAAAGATGTAAGATTAAGAACTTCCTGAGGTAAACAACCAACATACAGTGAAAAATGTAATCTCATATTTTTTTATTCTGTTATAAGCCCTATTTTGTGCCCTATTTGTGGCCATAATCGCTTTCTTTCTGTCAAACTCTACCGTACCAAACCATGATGGCAGCCATTCATAAAAAGAATAAACTTATCTGAAAGGGTTTTTCTTCAGAGAACAGAGGCTGATCATGGCTATGTTTGGCAGAGAGAGTGAAAAAGACCCCATTCCCATGTCTTTAATACTGTTTAGCTAATAAAATCAGTCCTGGGTTAATTAAATCTGTCCTGGGTTAATGAAATCACTGCTCATGTTCCATTAGTGTTCCAGACTCCACCCACTCAGAGAATTCTCTGCTTTATGATTGGTCACACCCTGTGTTGACGTGCTCCAATGCACCCACCGCCCATGATAGCAGTACTGGACAGGGTTAGAAATATAAAATCTCATTCAATTCAAACATGGTGCATCAAGACAATACAACCATGGTTTGCAGTCAATAATGAGACACAAAAGAACCAATGAAGTATGACATCAATAAAGTCAAACCTGGTGTGGTGCGTCAAAACAAGCAAGAATGACATTAGATAGCAACAACTGAGGTTAAAAACATAATAAAAGCATGTCATTAAAAAAAATTAAAAAAATTAAAAAATACAATCTGATGGGTAAATGTGTCATTTCACCAGAAAGTAATCAAAAATAAAACAAGTTTAAGAGTTTTAAAACACTATTAAGATTTTTTGAATTGTGACATTGTTTTAATTGCAAATAGTATTAAAATAATTAATTTACTTTTTTTGTTGCAAAATTCACATTATTTTAGTTTTTTTATTTAATTTATCAAAATAAAATGTACTACATACATTAAAAGCAGTAAAACAAATACTACGAGGATGTATATACTGTATAATTTCATATATATTTTTTTATAGTTTTTTGTATAATAACATTATTGTAATGAGATTTCAGACATATTATTGTTAACTAAACAAAAAATACATTTTGTTAAATGAAATAAGAAAGAGAAAGATATACACCACAAAAGTTGACTGATTTTCCATTGCATTTTTTTTTCTTTTGAACATCTGCACACATTTACAATACTTCAGCGCAAATTCCTGTATCTTGTTCACCCATACTTTAATTGAAGCAATTTAGCACTTCAAAATGGCCTTAGGATCACAAATTGCGCCCTACAAAAAAAATTCTTGTTGAAAGAATTTGTTCTTTCGTTGTTCTCTGATTTGCATAATTCCTTTAGTACTAAGTGAAAGTGACGTGGCATGTGGCCAAGTATGGTGACCCATACTTGGAATTAGTGCTCTGCATTTAACCCATCCAAAGTGCACACACACAGCAGTGAACACACCCGGAGCAGTGGGCAGCCATTTATGCTGCGGCACCCGGGGAGCAGTTGGGGGTTCGGTGCCTTGCTCAAGGGCACCTCAGTCGTGGTATTGAAGGTGGGAGAGAGCGCTGTACATTCACTCCCCCCACCTACAATCCCTGCCGGTACGAGACTCGAACCCGCAACCTTTGGGTTACAAGTCCGACTCTCTAACAATTAGGCCACGACTTCCCCTACTACACAAAGCATGTGCAAATAAACAATATCATCAGTTCGTTCTTCGCAAATTCCTCCCCAAATCTTGAAAGTTGGAATGTTTGTCTTGGATTATTCCCATCCGCAGACATTTCCCTTGTAAGCCTGATCTTTTAATAACAATAAACATTATTAAATATTCATGACCGTCTGTTTTGTTTCCCGCACAGCACCAGAAACAAACGTCTCTCTCTCGCCCACAGAGTCTGATCTTCATCTGTGGTTAACACATGGCATAATTACACCATTCCGTGCTTAATGAATGGATTAAATGTGAAAGCACTCTTCGGATACACAGGGGCTCCTTTTCTGTGCCCTACATGGTCACATGAGCACACCCAAACAGCTCTTCACACTGACAGCGTTTTCTAAAGAGTCCATTATTGGACTGGACCTATTCATTAGTGGGGAAGAGACGGGCTCGTCTGCAGCAGGCAGACAGGTGGGCCGACAGACAGGCACAGTATAGGTGAATATGGTGAATATTGCTGGAGACAGCTGGCTGATGGACTGATAATGACCCGAGTGAGTCTCTGTCAAGCTTTTTCTCTGTCGCTGCATTTTGGTCCATCACTCCTCGCTGGGGTGCGGGCAAAACATGTGTCATTTCACCAGAAAGTCTCTATTAATAATAAGAAATTATATTTGTAAAAAGACCGTTTTAAGATCACTAAGATTTTTGGCATTGCAACACTATTTTCATGGAAATTAAGCATATTTCCCCCCAAATTATCATTCTCATATGAGAATTATATTCTTTACAATATGGTAATATGAATTCAGTGTTGTTATTTTTAACTAAAACTATCAAAAATGTATTCCATTTAACATTTTCGTTAAATTTGAATAAAGCTGAAATAAAATTGAAGTCGAATTATTAAAAATACTAAAACTGAAATAAAGTTGAAGCTAAATATAAATGTTTGTCAATAAATTAATACAAATGAAAAAATGACTTGAACTTAAACTAACATTAAAAAGAAAACTTAAAATTTACAAATAAAATCTCATTCAAAATATTAATAAATATTCCAAAAAAGTATTTAAACAATACTACAATAACTGAAGAGACGAAATATGCCTAATTCTTACAAAACAATATCACAATGCCAAAATATCTTAATGGACCTAAAAATGGTTTTCATTTTCTTTAAGCAAAATATAATTATTTTTGTCTTATGTTTTTGGCATGAAATATGACCCCAGACATGTTCTTGACAGGCTTTGTGATATTCGCTCCAGGAATTCTGTTTCTCGGACAATCTCTCTCTCTACACGATCCCACTATGATAAGAGACTCCTCGCTAATAGAGTCATTAGTGAAAAGCGAATGGTATTATCACACACACATGCTATTTATTCCAACATACGACCTCAGAAATTAATTTGTTTTGAAGGGTAAAGAAAATCTCTCAGATAATTACAGACGGTCACATCAGCAAATATCAAGCAAGACACAAACATAAACGGTTCGATCCCCCAAAGGCTTAATATTCAGTCATTGCAAAATTAGCATGACCTTTAAGCACCACACACGTTTATCTCGTTATCTATGACTATCTAACTAGTAGGGGTTGCACCGACTAATCGACTAGTCGAGGGCGCAACAGGATAAGAAATCTTTGAAGGACTTCCACATTTACACTCCGTTTCCAAACAGTTAAAATGACAAATAAATGCACACTCTGAAAGCGCTCCACAAGACATGTGTGATTATATTAATGCATGCTCGAAATTTAACGGGAGAATGCACGTTTTAAACAGCTTATTGTACAGGTAAGTTAATCGCCGTTCTAATCTAATGCGCTGCTGCACTGTAACACACACATTAAAGACAATAAGCTTGTACATCACGCGCAGATCGCGCGAACACAGAATCATTCAGCACGGAAATGTAGTCAACACTGTTCTGTGATTTCTCAATAAAATTCTTGCTCAACAAGGAGGATTCCAAGGTCAAGGTGGCGGAATGACTGATCATCAGAGTCCTACCAACAGAGCACATCAATGACATTTCTCATTAAGTAACCATCAATAATGTTAAACAAATAGCCTTGTAATGACAGACACATGAGAGAATGTGTGAATTGGTTATGAATGCTTTAGTAACACTGCATCAAAAGGGTTAGTTCATCCAAAAATGAACATTTTGCCATTTACTTATTTACCCTCATGTCATTCCAAAACCATAAGACTTGTCTATTTTATAAAAAGAAATGAAGATATTTATATATATATATTAAAAAAAAAATACTAAGTTATCTTTCCCTCCATTCAAAGTCACATAAAGCCCATTTATCTTTTCAAAAGACTTGAAAAGATAAATGAACCTTTAAATTGAGGTTATATGGACTTTTAAAATAGGGACAGAAAGTCGCAGGTTTCATTAAAAATACCTTAAATTGTGTTCTGAAGATAAACAAGTCTTATGGGTTTTGACTGACATGATGACAATGTTAGAGAGAGGTTGGAAAGAGCTTTTGCTACTCTAAGTTCCAATGGTTTAAGCAATGTGTAAACGTTTTATCAAATACAAGGACTATCTATTAATAAAATGATTATGTTTTCATGGTCCTTTAAGATAACCTTTGAGAAAATAAGTTACTTACAAAGCATGCTTTGAAGAAATCTGTGGGGTTGTCACCAAGGAGAATCGGGAGCCCTCTGAGCACCAGTGACCTAATATCAGTTGGCTTTTGAGTCTGTTGGGTAGTAAAAAAACAAAACAAAAGGTAAATAGCTAGAATAACAGGAAATGATCTAGAAGAGAGCAGAACCAACAAAGCACAATTTTGTTGGACAATTGTATTAGACAACCAATATAGTATCACTTATTGTGACGTTTTAAAAAAAAAAACTATAAAAAAAAACACAATGCAACAATCTTGATGTAGGCAAGGAAATGGAACAGTTCTGCTGTAACATCCATGTTTTAACCTATAATGTTTTAATAGGTAACCCCGTTTGTTACATGTAAATTCACAAAACTTACATTTCCACTGCATCTTCACAAGAACCTGTTGAAACAGTTTACTGTGCTACTTTATCTGTATCTGATTTAGAATGAGCAGAAATCTGTGAGAAATATAACGACCCAAAGACAAAAGAACTGATAAAAATGAGCTGTTATAGGAGCGCTGTGTCACATGCCATAGCTGTGCACAAGGTGTTTATCACAGCTCCAGACTTTTGTTCATTAATGACGTCATCAGCGACTAGTCGACTTCAACTCGACTTTCATCACATAAAAGTCGTCTTTAAAAAATCAGAAGTCGTTAAACTCCTACTAACTAGTTAACTTATCTATCCAGTGTATCTAAATGAGAACTTGACACTTTTAAATTAACATTACTTTTATGCGTTTAACATGTAAATTTGTTTTTTATTTCAGTTCATGCTTTCCTTAAGAATAAAAACCAGTGACACTGGCGATGCTATCGCTATGCTCTACTTTTCAAACAGGAACACTATATTATTAAATGAAATGAAATTAATTGAAATAATATTTATTAATTATAATATTAAGAATTAATTAATTAAAATAATGACTAAAAATACCTCAAACATTATGCTTAATAAAAAAAGTGATTTTTTTTAAATAAAAACAAATGAAGCTGGTGTTGCTAGAACTATGCTCTTATTTTCAAGCTACAGAAACAATGTATTATTAAATGAATTAAAACAATATTTATTAATTAAAAATGTAAATAATTGTGACTACAAACTACCTCAAAATGTATTGTTAATAAACATTTGCAAATTGTTCGAATAAAAGCTCTACTAAGCTCTACTTTTTAAGCTACAGGAACACTGTATATTATTAAATTAATTAAAATAATATTATTAATTAAATAATAATATTTATTATTATTATTATTATTATTAATGACTACAAACTAAATCAAACTTTATCCTAAAAAACATTTTTAATTATTTAAAATAAAAATTACTTCATTTATTTTACTTTTGAGAAATTATAAGAAATTACATTTGAAAAAGATAATTTTAAGACAGTTCAAATTTGTTTGCATTGTGGTATTATTTTAGTGGAAATTTTGCATATTTTCCACAAAAAATCTCATTACTGAAGGTTTTATTTTTGAGTTGGTATTTGCTAAATTACCATTATTTTCAAATTGAATATATTATATAAATTAATAATATAATATATTCAATTAGATGCATACTTTTTGTATGAAACAAATGAACTTTTTATGAATAAAGTATGAATAAATTAGTTTCTTTGTTAAAAATAGGCCAATCACATAACACAGAAACTACCTAAAAAAAAAGTTTTTTTTGGTACAAAATGGTGAACATTTAACGCAAACCTCATGAATAATCATATACAGTCACATCAGCAAACAGAAAGATGAGTTTTTACACAAACTCACACTTTACCAAATTAGCAAGACCTTTAAGATGGAAACCACACACACGTCACGTGTCACACATACAAATATTCATAAATATAAATTGTGCTTTCTCAATGCACATTCGAAGTATAATTAATAGACTGACTCCTTATTAAAATGACAAAATGAACAATCAAATGGAAATGAAATGATGCGTGAAGGAGTTTGAATGGTTTGAGTCACAATGCTAATGCTCACACTAGCGGGACAGGTGTGTATCAACCTCATATGTGAACATCTCTCATACACAGAGGCCAAAGTGCAGAGCAGATGGCAGAGATGAAGAGTGAGAGTGAATGTGTGTGTGTGGCCAGAGCAAAAGGCAGAGACTATAGCATATGGTCAACTGACTGCCCGCTGTTAGAACATTTACCATTGTGTGTGAGCTAATGATGGTGTCCTTCATCCTCTGTAATCTACAGTGTGTGTTTACCAGCGTGAAATAGTGTTGTCTTCAGTCAGGCATACATAAACAAGCAATGAGTCACGTAAGGGATCATGTAGTCAGCCGATTAGTCATTAACTCAAAATAAATCCCAATGTGAGGTGGAGAGGCGTCGCATGATTTTGAAGTAGAGTTAGTAGCTGAGAACCAGTTCTTATTCAGAACGGTTCCTTCTGTTAATTCTCGCACTTGCTTTCTTCCACTGATGCGAACAAAACACCATATTAAAAAGAGCCTATTCTCATAAAGTTTTGATGGAAAATATAAATCTCCACCAGTCTAATCACAAAACTAGTGATTTTTATTATCCGGTTCTTCTTAGGCAATCAAAAACATACTGCACGACCGGTAGTTTTATTCCGGAATGAATGATTCTTATGATCCTGCTGTTTTAAGTGATTAAAAAACACACAGTGCAACTAGTGCAGTCCGATTCCTGAAATAATAATTCTGATACGGTTCTTTTTATGGAATCAAAAACATACAGTGCAACCACTGCAGTCCAATTGCCAATCTAATGACTCTTGAGATGGTTCTTTTCGGTGAGTCAAAAACATTTAGCTCAACTATGCAGTCTGATTAAAGGCACAATATGTAAGATTTTAGTTTTTGTTCAGTATCCATTTTAAAAACTATCGGTTAATTAATCGGTATCGGCCAGTGTGGTCCAACCTAGCTATCGGTATCGGCAAAATCCACTATCGGTCGACCTCTAGTCATAACCCCTCGATTTCTGGTTTTGTAGAAAACATGGAAACACCAAAGACGCTTTAATATGCTGTGCATTTTAATAGACCGGTGACGACCGCACAGAGTAGCATTATAACAGAACTTTCAAATGTATCTAGTATGATAAAACAGCGCTGCTTTACCCCACATACGCACGACCGGAAGGAGCGGAAGTGGTCGACTGTGGCATAATAAAAGCTGTGTGTCACGCTCGTTCAGCGGCCTCGTTTCGCTTCAACGGCTTTCAGCCTCACCCTGCTTCATTCTACTACATTAATAAATCATTAGCTCATCCATGAACATGATTTCTGCCCGAGTCCCGTCGGATTGCATCGGCTGTGGGGATGAAGACGACAACTCCCATGATTCCACACTCAGTCATGGCGTCATCAAACTACGCCTTTGTCTCTTTGTTATTTTGAATATGCGAAAATTACATATTGTGCCTTTAATAAACGAATGACTCCTATGATTTGGTTCTTTTAGGCAATCAAAAAGATACAGCGCGACAATGGAAGTCCAATTCTTGAACTGAAGACTCTTATGAGCCGGTTCTTTTTAGTGAATCAAAACATACAGCGTGAAGTGAAGTTCGGTTCCCAAATGAATGACTGTTATGATCCAGTTCCTGAATCTAAAACATACAGCACGACCAATAGTTTGATTCCCGAACGAATGACTCTTTTGAGACAGTTCTTTATAGTGAATCAAAAACATAGGAAACAGCACAACTAGTGCTGAACGATCCTGAACGAATGATTAGGCTACTTATCCGGTTCTTGAATCAAAAACATACAGCGTGACCAGTGTAGTCAGATTCCCAAACTTATGATAATAAAACTTTTTTTTTTTTTAGGGAATCAAAAGAGCAACCACTGTAGTTCTGATCCCGAACAAACGTTTCTTATGAGCTTATTCTTTAAAAAAAAAAAAATACATACAGCATTACCACTGTAGTTCGATTCCCGCACAAATGACTCTATGAGCTGGTCCTTTTTAGTGAATCAAACCAGTTTTTTACGATTGCCATCCCTACTCTGAAGAGGTTTGTGTGCGATAATGACCATTACTTACTGTACATTATCACTACTTAACAAAAATATAATAAAAGCACACAAAATGTTGCTTTTATTCGAAACAGTTGTTTATTATGTGAGAAGAACGAGCTCGGAGCAATATGAGAGATATGAGCTTGGAAGCCTGTAATAACAGTTAAATATAGAGTATAGCGTCATTTTATTCAAATATCTGACGCAGAATGTTTCGCTTGACCAATCAGAATCAAGTATTCCAGAAAGCAACGCTATACGTTTAAAAAAAAAAAATATATATATGTGTGTGTGTGTGTGTGTGTGTGTGTGTGTGTGTGTGTACAGGTAGCTGTTCTGCTGCGTTCTGCCTTTGTGTTCGGAGGTTTTGATCACACAAATCTACACACATACACACACAGTGGCTATTGTCTGTTTCCTTTCCTCTGTCTGTATTCTGCAGCTGTGCATGACTGATTTTCTCAGCCTCAGGATTTACAGAACAAAGCTTTGCAGACAGCACCTATTGATTCTGTATCTTGTGTGTGTGTGTGTGTGTGCGTGTGGGTTACAGGAACACGGATTGGGAAGTGACATTTCTATCACTTGCGAGACACTTCCTTGGGAAGAAACTAGTTTCAAAACCTAGTGAGCTGCCTTGCTGTCTTTTCCCTAGCAGCACCCTAACTGAAATATAACTCTTAAATTACTGTTTTGATAGTATACAAATATGCGTCATACAAATAGCACGTGAATCGGACTCTTACCTGATTTCAATACAGTTTGAATGCGATGCTGTCATAGAATCTGATTTTAAAAAAATCCTTTCAGAGAAGCTTTCGCGTCTGGAGCGCAATTTATACCACATATTAGTGGTGTTTCGTTTATTTATGAATCTTTTGAGTGAACACATAAAAAATGCGGTCATATTTTGATTGACTATTAAGTGTTTGGCGACTCGACCAATAGCATTCGAGCGCGGGCTTTGAAGGAGCATTTTCATTGGTTAGAGGTGTACGGCCACGCCCCCTTGGCTAGAATAAAAAAAAAAAGACCTGGGGCCAGTTTCATAAACTTAGCCACCATGTTAAGACTGTGTCTTAAGAACTAGTTTGACCAACTAGCAGATGCCAAGAATCAGTCTTACTTTTCCAATACAAATAAGAACAATCAACCTTTTCATAACTGAATGAAAAAAGTTATGACCAGTCTTGAAGAAAAAAAAAAGTAGGTGACTACATTTTTAAGACTAGTCTAAACAGTTTATGCAACCGGCCCCTGTTTGGTTCACTGAGGCTGCCTCTGGAATCTGAATAAAATAATTGCGAGAATTGTGGCAAGCATGTTTCTGGCCTAGGAACAACAAAATAGAAAAGGTAATTGCAACTTTTTATCTCACAAATCTGACTTTTTCCTCATAATTCTGTTTATATCTCACAATTCAGACTTTTTTTTCCTCACATCTCTGAGTCTTTATCTTACAATTCAGCATTTTCTCTCGCAATTCTGAGATTCTAGACTCAGAATAAAGTTAGAATCGTTAGATATAAACTTGCAGTTACAAGGTAAAATAAAATCAAAACTGTGACGTTTGTTTCCGCAAAATAATAAAAATAAATATTGAAAAGGTAATTGCGACAATTCTTGTCTTTCTTGACTTCTCGCAATTTCAAGTTTATAACTCACAATTAAAACTTTTCTTCCCAGAATTGTGTTAATATTTCACAATTATAGGCTAATAAATAATAAATATATTATCTCGCAATTCTATTTTTTTCTCAGAATTGTGAATAATTGAATATTATAATTCTTTAATCATGCAATTCTGAAAAAAAGGAATATTCAGAATTGTGAAAAGTGTGAATTGCAAGATAATTGAATTATTGCTATTACCTTTACCAGTGAACAAATCTTTTTAGTGAACAGTTTCAAAAGATTTGAGTCGCTGCAATGAAAATCAGTCATCAGTTTTAGAGTTCAGCAGTTATTGTGGTTTCAGTTTGAAACGATAAATGAATGTTTAGTAATTGGTTATATATATCGATATATGATATGCTCTCCCTGCTCTCTCAGATTTTTAAATATTTTAATACCTGATTTAGTTTTGCGCATTCACTTTGAATGCAACTGTTCTCATTTTGTCTCCAAGTAAATCCACAACAAAACATGATAGAAATAACCAAACGAAACATCTTGCGTCAAAACTCATGTCACAGCAGCTTCTGGAGCTGATGAATTGAGCTATTTCATGGAAGTCCTGCTAGCCTCTTTCCCTCAAGGCATCATGGTTAGGCAGGTCAAGACAGACACCAAAAGCACAATAAAAGTCAATCACCCATGCGGCCCGTTGCTGATCTGCACTTAGGGGCCATTAAGAATGGAATTTCAATTAGTGCCTGTCTTATCAGCGCTGTATGTGCATTTGGGTGTTTGTGTTTCCAGCAGTGGGACATGATTTAATTTCCTCCCTGTCTGACAGGTGTTAAAGCGATGCGTGTGAATTCACACAGCCGTCTCTATAGAAGTTACCGCATATGTGGCTCAGAATAGCTGTACAAACAACTATATTTCAATATGAACCCAATGTGACACTGTATCCTATATGAGACACACACAAGTCACGCGTGACCTTTAACCCCACAAAAGCAATAAAACACGTACAAAGAGGTCCAGGCCTGAATGTATTGATTTTTTTTTTTTGGTGGAATCCCAAAGTGCTAAATGGTTTTGAGTTTCTGGATTCACCCAAGAGTGAAACGCAATTCGTCCGGAGATGTTTCGAGCGCTACGTATTGGTTGACATTTCATTTGTCATGTACAGTAACCTTGGTCGATTAATGCAAAATGTGAGAACGACGGCGGTGACATTTAGGGGTACCTGAGCACACACACCATTAAATCCCGGCAGCCGTTCATTTCAATATGTCGTCAAATATTCAGAGGTGTTAGAAAACAAAACCCCAGACCAGACACAACACATCGACGGTTCTTGTTATCGAATCTCCGTTGTTCGCCGTCTCTGACATTTCCCCTGACTGCAGCCGTGTGTTCACACATTAGAGGGTACGGTCAACCAGAAAACACCCACCAGAGATACACACGATACTATTGTAGCTTAGCTAGCTTATTTGGGCAGGTTGGCTGAAGTTACAAGTCTAAAATTTGAGTAACGGATACAGAACAACAACTTTTTGATGTTAAAAGCGTTTAAAGTCATAATGTATCTAGAACTTGACTGAATTTTCTGAGGAAATTTGAGGTATTCTAAGGTGTTCTTAGTGATTTTAGCATGATTTGTTTTTTTGCATTTGCGAACACCACTAAACTGAACCATGATAATATTGTGGTTTTTCAGACATGCAGACATTTTTTCCAACCCTGCTCCAACCATGTAGTTTTCAAATAAGTCTGAAGAACTTGATTAGTTGGATCAAGTCTAAAGTCAGCAGGGCTCCGGCCCTCCAGGAATTGAGTTTGACACTGTTGTAGATTAATATGATTTTTAAACAAGATGCAATTTTCATTTAAATATAAGTAGAAGTTTATATTATGAAATGTAATTAAAAAAATATGTAGAAATTTAATCTCACAGATTTTAAAGTACCATGTAAAGGTATGAAAAGTACATCTTATATGGTCACTGTTCTTTAATACTGCCTTAGTACTATTTTGTAAGAGATTTTCTGAACAACTGTCTTTGGTTTTGTTCATAGCACCATCTGACAGGCCTGTGTTATCATTCATCATGTTTTGTCTGAATATATTCCATGTTTCTGTGTGTGATATATGAGCTATCATGCTTAAAGGAAACACTATTAATGTGTGTTCCATTCAGACGCTGCTGTAATGAATCACTTTCACTCTGCGTTGTCTCAAAGTAACAACAAAGCACTTTCACAACTCACACAATTAATCAAGGCCACAGTGTGTGTTTGTAATTGTCTGGATTTATCTCTGCCATACCGGTCTGTCAGAAGCGAAAATACCGCCTGATGCTCTTGACAGTAAAAGAGTGTGTGTGTTTAGTCTGCATTCACACAAAGACAAGATGATGGCAAGGAGAAAAGAGTGAAAATTCCAGGCTTGACTGAAGCTTGTCGATGTGGCATGTCTGTACCTGAACCACAGCTTTCATATTCAGTAGAATAGTGTTCACATGAAGACTATTTGATGCCATATTTGTCTCAGGGAAGCCTCATTCAATGTTTTGAATTGCATAAATGTATATAAGCACTCCACTTTGCATCAGTGTGAGTTAATGTATGCAATATAAAAATGAAATAAGCTAAATAATGCCCATATTTTGGCTCAAAATGAGTAAAATGAAGCCAGATAGCTCTGAGCTGTAGGCCTGTGGGGTTTATGAATGGAGGCTCCGGAAAGGGCTGGGTGAAGGTCATCTGAAGGTCATTTCCTTCCGCAGGGGGGAGTGACCCGAAACCGCGTGAATGAATTTGAGGAACATACAGGAAGAGATCCGAAGCCCAAGGCAAAGTCACACATACTCGGAATGTAATAAGGAGAGTCATTAGGAATGAGACAATAAATCTCAACTACATGAAAAAATATCTACCGGCTTTATGAATATCATATCATATTTAAAAAAAATTACATAAAAAAAAACTAATATTAAAATATCAAAAAATATTTATA